TAGTTTTAGGTGACTCTATAGTTAGGGGTACATTAGGTGCTTCTGTGGACATAAAAGAGACTCCACGATGGTCTGAAGAAAGGTCCCGACCTGAAACGTCAGCTTTCCTGCTCCTCTGATGCTGCCTGGCCTGCTGTGTTCCTCCAGCTCCACACTGTATTATCTCTGACTCCAGCATCTGCAATTTTTACTATCTCCAGGATGGTGTGTTGCCTCCCTGGTGTCAGGGTCCAGGATATCTCTGAACGTGCAGAAAGTATTCTAAAGAGAGATGGTGAACAGCCAGAGGTTGTGGTACATGTTGGTATTCATAACATAGGTAGGATGAGTGACGAAGTCCTGCAGCAATAATTCAGGGAGTTATGTAGACAGTTAAAAAGCAGGATCTCCAAGGTTGTAATCTCAGGATTACTCTCTGTGCCATGTGCCAGTGAGGCTAGAAATAGGACGATAGTACAGCTCAACACGTGGCTAAACAGATGGTGTAGGAGGGAGGGTTTCAGATATCTGGGCCATTGGGATCTCTTCCAGGACAAGTGGGACCCGTACAAGAAGGACGGGTTGCATCTAAACTGGAGGGGCACAAATATTCTGGCTGGGAGGTTTGCTGGTGTCACTCGGAAAGATTTAAACTGGCTTGGCAGGGGGGTGGGAACCAAAGCAAAGGTAATGGACTGAAAGGGAACTACAGAATAGGGCCAGTAAGACTCAGAGGAAGAGCAGGCAGGGTGTGGTTGCTGATCAAAGTGGATCTGGTGGACTGAAGTGCATCTGTTCCCTTGGGAGGGCTTCTTGAAACAGTATGTAGATAGATCAAAAGGAAAGGGGCCGTACTGGACCTAATATTGGGGAATGAGCCTGGCCAGGTGGTCGACGTCTCAGTAGGGGAGCAGCTCAGGAACAGTGATCACAATTCAGCAAGCTTTAAGGTACTGATGGATAAAGATAGGTGTAGTTGTCAGGTGAAGGTGCTAAATTGGGGGAAGGCTAATTACAACAATATTAGGCAGGAACTGAAGAATGTAGATTGGAGGCAGATGTTTGAGGGCAAATCAACATATGGTATGTGGGAGGCTTTCAATTGTAAGTTGCTGGGAACTCAGGACTGGCACGTTCCTTTAAGGAAGAAGGATAAGTATGGCAAGTTTAGGGAATCTTGGATAACGAGAGATATTTTGAGCCTAATCAAAAAGAAAAAGGAAGCATTTATCAAGGCTAGGAGGCTGGGAACACATGAAGCAAGGGTGGAATACAAGGAAAGTCGAAAGAAACTTAAGCAAGGAGTCAGGAGGGCTGAAAGGGGTCATGAAAAGTCATTGGCCAACAAGATTAAGGAAAATCCCAAGGCTTTTTATACATGTATAAAGAGCAAGTGGGTAGCCAGGAAGAGGGTTAGCCCACTCAAGGACAGGGAAGGGAATTTATGTGTGGAGCCAGAGGAAATTGGTGAGGTATTAAATGAGTACTTTGCGTCAGTATTCACCATAGAGAAGGGCTTGGTGGTTGATGAGTCTGGGGAAGGGTGTGTAGATAGTTTAGGTCATGTTGAGATCAAAAAGGAGGAGGTATTGGGGGCCTTGAAAAACATTCAGGTAGACATGTCCCCAGGGCCTGATGGGATATACCCCAGAATACTGAGAGAGGCAAGGGAGGAAATTGCTGGAGCCTTGAGGGAAATCTTTGTATCCTCACTGGTGACCGGGGAGGTCCCAGAGAATTGGAGAATAGCCAATGTTGTTCCTTTGTTTAAGAAGGGTAGCAAGGATAATCCAGCTAATTACAGGCCAGTGAGCCTTACGTCAGTGGTAGGGAAATTATTGGAGAGGATTATTTGAGACAGGATTTACTCCCACCTGGAAATCAGTGGGCATAATAGCGACAGGCAACATTGTTTCGTGAAGGGGAGATCGTGTCTCACTAACTTGATTGAGTTTTTTGAGGAAGTGACAAAGATAATCGAAGAGGGTAGGGCAGTGAATGTTTCTACATGGACTTCAGTACGGCCTTTGGCAAGGTCCCTCATGGCAGTCTGATACAGAAGGTAAAGTCGCATGGAGTCAGAGGCAAGCTTGCAAGATGGATAAAAAACTGGCTCAGTCATAGAAGACAGAGGGTAGCAGTGGAAGGGTGTGTTTCTGAATGGAGGGCTGTGACTAGTGGCATTTCTCAGGGATCGGTGTTGGGATCTTTGCTGTTTGTAATATATATAAATGATTTGGAGGAGTAGTAACTGGTCTGATTAGTAAGCTTGCCGCTGACATAAAGGTTGGTGGAATTGTGGATAGTGATGAGGACCGTCAAAGGATACAGCTGGATATAGATAAGTTGGTGATTTGGGCAGAGAGATGGCAGATGGAGTTTAATCCGGAAAAATGTGAGGAAATGCATTTTGGAAGGTCTAATCCAGATGGAAAATATACAGTAAATTGTAGCACCCTTACGAGTACTGATAGGCAGAGGAATTGGGGTGTACATGTATACAGGTCGCTGAAAGTGGCAACGCAGGTGGAGAAGGTAGTCAACAAGGCATATGGCATGCTTGCCTTCATCAGCCGGGACACTGAGTATAAAAATTGGCAGGTAATGTTGTAGCTTTATAGAACCTTAGTTAGGCCGCATTTGGAATATTGTGTTCAATTCTGGTCGCCACACTACCAGAAGGATGTGGTGGCTTTGGAGAGGGTACAGGAAAGATTTACCAGGATGCTGCCTGGTATGGAGGACATTAGCTATGAGGAGAGGTTGGAGAAACTTGGGTTGTTCTTACTGGAACGATGGAGGTTAGGGGTTACCTGATAGACGTCAACAAGATTATGAAGGGCATGGACAGAATGGACAGTCAGAAGCTTTTTCCCAGGGTGGAAGAGTCAGTTACCAGGGGCCATGGGTTTAAGGTGTGAGGGGCAAGGTTTAAAGGTGATGTATGAGGCAAGTTTTTTACACAGAGGGTGATGGGTGCCTGGAACTTGCTGCTGGGGGTGGTAGTGGAAGCAGATACTATAGTGACCGTAAAAGGGAGTCTTGACAAATGTATGAATAGGATGGGAATAGAGGGATACGGTCCCCGGAACGGTCGGTGGTTTTAGTTGTGATGGGCAGCATGTTGGTGCAGGCTTAGAGAACCAAAGGGCCTGTTCCTGTACTGTAATTTTCTTTGTTCTTTTGTTCTTAATGTGTTCAGGAAAGTTACCTTTGACAGTATATAGAGGGTCCTATTCGGGAAGGGGCAAAACCTGACATACTCTTGGGAAACAGGGCAGGACAGGTGATTGAGATGACACCGGGGAAGCACTCTGGGACCAATGACCATTGTTCTATTAATTTTAAAGTAGTTATGGAAAAAGACAAAACTGGTCCACAGGTTCATGTTCTAAATTGGGGCAAAGCGAATTTTTGTGGAATTAGACAGGAGCTTGCAGGGGTAGTAGGAACTGCAGATGCTGGTGAATCCGAGACAACAAGGTGTAGGGCTGGATGAACATAGCAGGCCAAGCAGCATCATAGGAGCAGAGAGGCTGACGTTTCGGGCCTAGACCCTTCATCAGAAGTAATTCATTTGTAAGCAAAGGGACCTTTGACAAGTGGGAGGCCTTTTAAAGACTGATAGCTAGAGTTTAAGGTCTATATGTTCCTGTGAGGGTGAAGGGCAAGGTTGGCAGGTGTAGGGAACCCTGGATAACAAGAGATATTGAGGTGTGGGAGATCGTGCCTCACAAATTTGTTAGAGTTCTTTGATAAAGTGACCAGGAAGGTTGATGAGGGCAGGGCCGTAGACATAGTCTATATGGATTTCAGTAAGGCCTTTGATAAGGATCCACATAGTAGGCTGTTCTGGAAGGTTAGATCGCATGGAATCCAAGGAGAGCTGGCAAATTTGATACAGAATTGGCTTGATGGTAGGAAGCAGAGAATAATAGTGGAAGGATGCTTGTTGAACTGGAGGCCTGTGGCTAGTGGTGTGCCGCAGGGGTCAATGCTGGGTCCATTGCCGTTTGTTATCTCGATCAATGATTTGGATGAGAATGTAAAAGGCATGATTAGTAAATAGGCAGTATCGTGGACAGTGAGGAAGGTTATCAGAAATTGCACCAGGATCTTGATCAGCTGGGGAAGTGGGCTGAGAAATGGCAAATGGAGTTTTAATATGGATAAGTGTGAGGTGTTGCATTTTGAAAAGTCAAATCCAGGTAGGAGTTTCATGGTGAATACCTTAAGGAGTGCAGAGGAACAGCGGGACCTTGGAGTTCAGGTGCACAGTTCACTGAAAGTGGAATCACAGGTAGACAGGGCAGTGAAGAAGGCTTTTGGCACACTGGCCTTCATCAGTCAGGGCATTGAGTATAGAATTTGGGAAGTTATGATGCAGTTGTATATAACATTGGTGAGGCCACTCTTGGAGTATTGTGTTCAATTTTGGTCACCTTGCTATAGGAAGGATGTTATTAAACTGGAAAGAGTGCAGAAGAAATTTACAAGGATGTTCCCATGACTCAGGGGATTGAGTTATAGGGAGAGGTTGGAAAAGCTAGGACTTCTTCTTTAAAGAGTAGAAGACTAAGGGGGGATCTAATTAAAGTGTATAAGATCATGAGAGGCATGGACAGGATGAATGCACTCAGTCTTTTCTCCAGGGTTGGGGAATCGAGAACTAGAGGGCATCAGTTTAAGGTAAGAGGGGTAGGAATACATGGAAACCTGAGGGGCAACTTTTTTTACACAGAGGGTGGCCAAATGGAATGAGCTGCCAGCCGAAGTGGTTGAGATAGGTATATTAACATCATTTACAAGGCATTTGGATGAATACATAGATGTAAAAGGCTGGTGAGGATATGGGCCAAACGCAGGGAAATGGGGTTATTGTGCATGGGCCAGTTTGGGCCAAAAGGCCTGTCTCCGTGCTGTAGGAACCCATGACTCTCTGACAGTGCAGCTCTCCTTCAGCAATAGCCCTCCGCCAGCGCCGTGCTGCTCCATTTAGACCCACCCTCCCGCTTGAGTTTCCGGGTCAGACACTCTTGTCAAACGGAGAATCCACGCGCCCGCAATTTGAATCATTGATCGTGCGGTGATCGGCTGAACATCCTGTGAGCTTCAGCTCGGCGCTCAGCCCAACAACAACAACAAGAGCAGGCCGCAGTAAAGGCCTAGGGTCAGAGAGAAGAGAAAATACAAGGTAGGACACGGCAGGTCTGTCACTGTGTCATACTGGGGTACAGTACTACAGGGGACAGGTCTGTCACCGTGTAACTCTG